ATATAATACAAACTGAGCAGCAACTGAATTCATCGTCTGTAAGCATGGTAGTGAATGAGTGGGTGTTCATAAAAACAGAAACTGTGGCTGTCTTGTGAATGCATCAAGACGGATGAACGTGAGTCAGTATATGTGGGTGTGGCGATTCTCTCACCACTTACACACTCATCCAGACCCAGGCGCATGCAACTCATTACACCTATATCCACACTCAGCCAATGACTCCACATCGGAATAGGTCGCTGGCTAAAACTTCCACTAAATGAAATTATTTTGAATTTTGAACTATTGTGTCATAAGAGTATTGAATGAACCATTGCGGTGTTATTTTCGATATATTAGTCACGTCAACAACAACAACATCAACATCGACAACATCAACAACATCAACATCAACAACAACATCAACATCAACATCAGCAACTACAAGTAAGATAGTATTCGCGATTTGATTCTCTGATACTGATGAATATTTAGTCGATTAGGATTCGTAAAAGTAGTTACACTGAATCAATTTGTGATAAGTCAAGAAATTCTCTCTGTTTGAAAAATGATTACTAAAACGAAAAGGCATTCTATTTATTTGTTTATAGTAGAGTGTTCCTTATTATCCTAGTGGATATAAAATTCGGAAATGCTTATAAAATGATAGAAGACGAAATGGGAACATTTAAGTCAAAAGCAATATCATCAAAGCGAATCATTTCACAACTTTCTACCAATGTAATTATGACAGGAAGTAGCTCACGCTTGTAAGTATAAAATGAGAGTAAATAAAAACTATAACACAAGTATGTGAAGCAAAGAGAAATAAAGCAAACTTAGCAAAAGGAGCAAGGGAAAAAAGAGTGATAAGAGAAAAAAAAAAGAAAAAAGTTAGATATATTACATGTTTATTCTTGTTTATTTTTTCTTCCAATTAACTCGTCTCAACAAAAACCAGCCACTTTAAACGATACGATTTGTATCCATCTATTCATTGACATACAAGACACCAGCGAAAAAAATAAAGGAGATAATTGCTTTTTCTTTTGTAAAATTCGTTACAAACAAGCATGTTATTATAGAAAAGTAAGAATCCAATATCAGTTATATCCATAGTTCTTAATCTTGTTTCAATGTATTTTTTTAACACAGAACTCTAATGAGTGTTCAAAAGTAACAGTATAGAGATTGTATACAAAGATAAAAGGACAGCGATACATTAGCCAAAGATCCACAGTGAATTTGTGTTACAACGTATATTGTTGAGTTTCTGGAAAGAAGAGATAAACGGAAATAACCAAGAAAAATGTGAAAAAGTATTTCCAAAGAAACATAGACGAAGCATCTTGCAGGACATATTTTGTCTGAATTTGAGCCAAGTCAGTTTTCCTATGGATCTTTAGATATTTTCTATACATTTTTCGATTGTGAGTTTTAAGGATAGTCTGTCAGTCCATGTGAATTCTACATACTTAAATTCTTTAACCAGTTCAATTTTTTTCTCTGTCCATTATAATATTCACTACTGGTCTTTTTACTTGAATGTATCGAAAGGAGTGTCACCATTTCCAATTGTTTTAAATACGCATACACTAGATTGCAGATTCACATACCTTCTTTCTCTATGTATTGAACCAACGGAGCTACGTTCTTCATGATAGGTGATCTAATGAGTACACTAAGATCATCTGAGAAGAGATAACCTGAATGAACACACAGGCAATTTATTAAATCACAATGGAACATACTAAATAGATACGGATTCAGACTACTGCCCTGTTTAAATTCTATAGTTATGTCAAAGATTTTCGATATTTTCCCGACACACACTACGTACACCTTTCTATCTTTTAAGCAGTCTTCAATCGTTTTCAGTAGATTGACTGGCATATCGAATTTTCACAGTGTAATTCGTTTATTGAAGATGTCTAAAGCAGTTGTCAAAATTTTTGATATGAAGTTGATGGTTTAAATGCAATATTGAAATGTCTTTTTCTATTAGCCAGCCAGTCTTGAATGTAGTCTCTCAGCTATTACTTCATTTGCATTTGTTCATATAGTCTTGAAAAATTTTGAGCAGTTTGAAGCAAGTAAACATCTGTATAAAATGATTAATGACAATGAGACGAGAGTATATTGTCATAATATAGACTTAAAACAATAATCAAATTCATGATTCGTAGCGAAAAAAAACTTTCACAGAGATGTTTAAAGACAACAATAGCAAAAATCTAAGTACAATCGTATAAATGCTCAAAACTGTAAATAGAAAAGAAATATACTCAACGAAGTGTAACCAATATGGAGTTGTATCAAAACATATTAAGACACTATCAGCAAAATGTGAAATATATCCCTTCTTATCTTATTAAGAGAAAAATGAAGCTATCGCTTATTTATCATAGTCGTCTAGAGTTGGCCTTTCAGACTTTTGACTATTCAATTGAACGTTCATTTGAATAGATACAAGCGACACCCACGTCCACGGAGGAATGGACTAGTGATAGATGTTGGCAGACACATTTTTTTTTGAGGTTAATCTCAACTTATTCGGCTGTACTCTTTTTGTTGTGTCTTCTCAAAGTATACGCTATTAAATGAAGCTCATCCTCAACCATGTCTTGAGAAAATACACAATCAACTCAACTAAAATTCTTTTTACCTCAACGATCTGATAACGTTTCATTTGATATCAGCTGATAATCATTCTACTGATTGTATCTAAGGAAAACTTGTGGGTTCAGTCCATCTATATGTCATTTCGTTTGCTAGGCTGATCGAAACTAAGATAATATTAAGTTTAGATCTAATTGAAAAATATTGATGGCCACATCACGAAATAACAGAACGACTGAACAATTATAATGATTAAGTAACCGAGGACATAGTTGTTACAAAATAGTCACAACTGGGAACTATATTGTTACTTTTTGTGAGAATGTACTTTAGCAGAAACTGTATCAGCGAAAAAAAGTGTTTCTCTTCATATGGGGAAACCAATAAAAGCTCTTCAAGACCACCGATATCATCTATTTTCTAGTAGCGCCGTATCAATGATAGTTGGAGTTACATTGTTTGAAAGTAAATAAAACTGTAATGAGGCGGGTCTTCTTCATAATTATACATGTGTTCATAACAATTTTTATTTTGCAATAGCTCCATGCAATAGATTTTCGACGCAAGTAACCTATTCAACTGGCACTAACCCGATTTCGGTGGCAGCAGCCGATGTCAATGGAGACAGTAAACTCGATATTATTGTCGCAAACGACGGTTCAAACAACGTCGGTGTTCTCCTCAACAATGGTAATGGCACGTTTGCTGCTCAAGTGACCTATTCAACTGACTCTCACCCGCGGTCTGTAGCAGCAGCCGATGTCAATGGAGACAGCAAACTCGATATTATTGTCGCAAACTACGGTTCAAAGAACGTCGGTGTTCTCCTCAACAATGGGAATGGCACGTTTGCTGCTCAAGTGGCCTATTCATCTGGCTATATGCCGTATTCTGTGGCAGCAGCCGATGTCAATGGAGACAGTAAACTCGATATTATTGTCGCAAACGACGGTTCAAATAACGTCGGTGTTCTCCTCAACAATGGTAATGGCACGTTTGCTGCTCAAGTGACCTATTCAACTGGCACTGAACCGGTTTCGGTGGCAGCAGCCGATGTCAATGGAGACAGCAAACTCGATATTATTGTCGCAAACTACGGTTCAAACAACGTCAGTGTTCTCCTCAACAATGGTAATGGCACGTTTGCTGTTCAAGTGACCTATTCAACTGGCACTAACCCGATTTCGGTGGCAGCAGCCGATGTCAGTGGAGACAGTAAACTCGATATTATTGTCGCAAACTACGGTTCAAACAACGTCAGTGTTTTCCTCAACAATGATAATGGCACGTTTGTTGCTCAAGTGACTTATTCTAGTGGCTATGGGCCATGGTCTGTAGCAGCAGCCGATGTCAATGGAGACAGCAAACACGATATTATTGTCGCAAACTACGGTTCAAACAACGTCGGTGTTTTCCTCAACAATGGTAATGGCACGTTTGCTGCTCAAGTGACTTATTCTAGTGACTCTTCGCCGGTGTCTGTGACAGCAGCCGATGTCAATGGAGACAGCACACTCGATATTATTGTCGCAAACTACGGTTCAAACAACGTTGGCGTTTTCTTAGCTAATTGCAACTGACACGCAAATTGGCCTCTACTTATGTAGTAACATTGCCGTAGTGGTTTTAGAATTTTACTAAAATCTGTTTATGTCCTTTAATAAAATCAGACTGTCTTTGTGTCATTTAATTAATAAGTTTCTTGACTATTCTTATAGAATTAAATACCTATGAATGGAGATGCAATTTTTAGCATCTTGTTGGCGGATGATGTCGATGTAAGTTCTCATTCAAGGGAACCAGTGAACCATCGTCACAATGATTGTCTGAAGAAAGACAAGTCCATTACGATCACATCATCAGTTAAGAGGTAATCATAAACGTGCAATTATATCAATCGAAAATAGATCGATCTTGAGGGTGAATATGAGCTGCCATGATCACGATTTCGACCCAGCTGACGACTAAATCTCTTGAGGGTGAGATAAGCTATCATGACCAATTTCGATTTTGCTTAAGAGTTTTATCAAATGGTTTAAAAGATCAATTTGAATTAATAAATTCAAATCAAATATCTACATTTGCTACAATAGGATATAGAAATCAATAAGTAATAGTAGAATCATATGGCAAACTCAATAGAAAAGAGATTGCAAGCATCACACGACGCCTTCCGGCTGATGATTAAGGGTTGAAGAGGTTATCTCTAGGAGTAAAGTTTTTGGCCCTTTACAGTGAATAAATCATTGTTACCTTAATCTATTGATGTATCTGTTGCCGATGAATGTATGTTTCGATCGTAGGTATTGTTGATAGACTTGGCTATGTATTATTCATCTACAATGTTTTCATGATACGCTCATTGTGAAGATAACCTCTGTACTTGTGTCTTTGTGTCACTTTCAGTGAGAGAGATGCCCTCCCCTTATATGTGTGCTCTCATGGTACCCTCAATAATAAAGATGCCCTGTATGTGTGTTTCTCTGACATGCCCAGTGAGATTTAAACTTCAAATTTGAATTGAGAATTTAAATACTTGAATAGTTGAAACTTGAAACTTCAATTAACTTCAACTTTCAAGTTTGATAGATGCATAATCAATGAGAACAAATAATTTTGACAATATTTGCCTCAACGAGGAAAATTTTATTTACAACATTCTGTATAATTTTAATTGCGGGAATGGATGTCGAATTACTAGATGATAGGAAACTAAATCAATTTTCTTCATCATTTTAGATCGATTATCGATCGATATGATTTGAAGATGTAATCAATTGTGAACATTATGTATTCAATTCATCCATACAGGTACATTGTGAAAAGAACATTTTCTATGAAGTAAAAGTGTCTTATAGTGCGGGTCAAAAGTCCGGTCCCACTTTTTTGTTTTGAGTCGTGCATTAAAACTACATAACATTAATTTAATTTGTCTATATGCCTGTAAAGTAGAGGTCGAGTACTATCTATCTATCTATATATATGTTTAATACGAAAAATCTTTGAATATAAAACACAACAAAAACAAACAAACTTCAATGCTAACAAAAAAATGGGTGTAGGTCTGTGTGTGTGACTATGACAGAAAAGATGCCCAACATCCACACCTACCCACACTAATCACTGCTTTAAAAAGGTTCAGTATTGCATTCTTAAGGCAGAAAAGTAGGTGAGTTTTATCAAATACTTTATGAGTGAAAAAGTTGTTATCTATTAATAATAAATACATCATGTCCTATCATTTGACATATTTGAATCTTTCGAAAATGACAAAGAAAGTTAAAATTCATCTATGTCAAATCATGGGATATGATGAACTTATTATTAATAGGTAGAAAATTGTTTACTCAAAAAGTATTTACTGGAAAACTCATCTACTTTTCTATCCTTAAAAATCGAAAAATAGAATTTTTTTAATGCATTGTTTGGTAGATTTGATCACAACGTACATTAGTTCAGAAGAAAGTCAAATGGTACACTTATAGAACTTGCTGACACACTATCTATGAAAATACACACCGTTGATTGCCTTTGCCCTTAGAAGCAGCATCGAAGACTTTGAAAAACTTTAAAAGCTAAAAATTATAGAAGCTAACAAAAATGCTAAGATTTTGGATGCGAAGAAAGCTATTGTGAGAATTATTAAATATACATGATTGAAGACGACATAAAATTCTATTGAATTAACTTTAAACAAAATTTGATATGGATTGGTTTATAGACACACTAAGTTATAATATTCGGTCATATTTTCCGAAATTGCTATAATATTCCATAACTGGTATATTTTTCGTCTCAGAATGTGAAAGTTTGATATGAAAAAGCACTTTTCTACATACTATATGATGCAACACGAGTTGCTCTACAAAACGGTAGATGTAACATTACAAACTAAGGATGGTCATTATATCAGACAGGATTCTTTGTACAAATCTTAATTCGATTAGTTTACCATTATCTTGAATATATAAAAGTTAATTGGAATTTGTTTGATATTTTTCTATGTTTGATTAAACTCAAGACAGTTTCAAAGCAATTGTATACGAAGAAGTAATTTTTCATATATACGAGTGAATTGCAACTTTTTTGTACGATTGAAATTTTAGCTGTATTTCGCTAATAACTTTTTCTATGCTGAACTGATTTAGACCGATTTTTTTGTATGTTATTGATCTTTGAGTGTCTCACTACCATAGAAAATTTTAGCTCTCTAGCTCGTACAGCTGCTGAGTTATCAGCCCTTTACTGTCAAAAAATCCTATTTTACAGGAACATGTATTAAGAAAAGAATATTTTCTATGTATAGGAGAAAACAGAAAGAATATAGTGAATAGTCAGTTTTGTACAGCTTGAAATGCTCTATTAAATGGTATATCTTTTATATGTTTTTCCTTTTTTTTTCACACCGAATACTTAATTACACACACTTTGTTATTTTTACGTAGAGCATCCTTATCGTTCAATTTACTTCGTCTGTGCGAAAATGGAAGAGAAGCGAAGATAGGCAAAAGAAAGACAACTGAAATAGTAACAAAATGATAAAAAAAGATTCTTCTAAATGAGTTTTTTTTAGATGAAAAAAATTCATTATTTTCTAAAAATTCGGACTTCACTCACTTTGTAGAGCGACTTTTTGAAAAGTATATTGTAAATAACTCCTGAACGACTTGGTTGTTTTCGTTCAAATTTTTACTGCAGATGTGGTTCTAAAAGTTACATAAGCACTCAAAAATTCAGCAGTCTGTCTCATACTATTCCTGAGAAATGTACAATATACGATAAAATGTAGAGTGACATTTTTTTCAAAAATGTGTAGAGCGACTTTTTGAAATTTACTTTGTAAATAACTTCTGAATAGTTCATTTGTTTTCGTTCAAATTTTTACTGTAGACATACTTCTCAGAGTTCTATACCCAGTAAAAACTTCGGCCCCCAATCTCTTATCATGCTTGAGATATTTACATTACATTATGAGCTGCAGAAGGACATTTTTCATTAAAACAACGGTTTTTATAGTACGTTTACAGTAACATATATCGTATCTCAGCTAATATGTGGTAAAGTGTTGAAAAACTTTTGCTGTGTAATGTAGGCATAGAGTCTAATAAAAGGCACTGGTCAGACATTGTTTAAATCTACTTTCAATTTTTTGCACCAATCGTACCAAAAAGGTGCGGGTGTGGGTGTGTGGATCTGTCTAATTGAAATCCTACACACCCACACCCTGATTAGTTTTCTTTTATTAATTTTTCTTCCTCAGAATTGTTCATCTCGTCAACCATCGTACAAAGTAGGTAGAGATGACCAACGTGAAAAACTGAACTAGATAGCATGCTGCATGTATCTTATTTATTCGAAAAGCTATCTTGAACAAGACTGGATGAGGATAAGGTAATGATAGGTCTATCACTCTCACCTAGCCATCCGCATAAATTACATTACGACCTTTACTAAGAAAACATTTTTGCTATGTTTAAGTACGAGATGTGTGTCATCTGTTGAATCGATCTGTCCACGTCATGGTCCACTGGCTGCGCTAAGAATAAGCAGCTATGACTGATTTCGACCTTGCTTAAAGGTCTCATCAGATGGCTGCTTATTCTTAATGTAGTCATACATTTTAATACTGTATCTCCTCTATTTTATAGGGGTTGACTGCAGTTTCACCGACGGTTTATGATGAGACCTTTAAGCAAATACGAAACTGATCATGGCTGCTTATTCGTAATATGATGTCAAAACAATGATCCTATAGAATGATTGTTCAACATTGTCAATGGTTTCATACGAATCACTCAATTGAATGGAATGGATATCATCTTTCAATGATTAACAAGATAGCTTCGTGGCCAACGAAAATTCTAGATCAATCTCAAGGTGATCTATTAGTTCAATTTGAAAGATATTGACTTTCATGGAAATTTAAATATCAGTTAGAATTATTTGTTGACAATGTGTCTGAATTAATCTCTTTACTCGGACTAGTGTACATTCACCTTTCGAATTTGAATAAATATGCAGACAGCTAAACAAGATGTCGTTTTGACAAGATACACAATTTTGTTTTATTGATCATTCATGAGCTTGGAATTTCATTGCATTGAAATTCTGCTTTCCAGATTTTTTAAAAATAGGAATTTTATAAAAATCGAGAATTTGTTCTATCATTATGGAATACGTCAACAAAAGTAATGTTACTTTATAATGCTAATCCATGATCTTTTAATCTCGAGCTAAGTGAATCGGTGTTCGATGAATGTTGGTTGTTTTATTGTATGTTTCGTATTCATGGCTTCCTTCGGACTACTCATTCATACAAGAATGTGTCAAGCTCAAATTCTTCCTAAGCTGTGACATACCAAAAATGGATGCATCATAGCACATTTCTTGTAATTCTTTTTCCGATGCTCAATCTGAGCTGAGTGGTTTTGAGTGTCGCACCGAGTACGGCATGAAGATAATACCCATACTACACAGAATTGATAATATTTATGTGAACTCTTTATTATTTTCATAGGACAATTAATTTCTCTTTTCTAATGTCACGTTCGAAAGGGTGCAATTGTAAAGATTTTGGTAACAATGTATTATTAGTCCAATAAAACAAGCTGGGTATTACGATGTATGCAATACATTCTCAAAATCAAGAATTTTATTAATTAATTATCAGATTTCTAAGTTTAAAAGTGACTCTCTGATTCATTTTTATTTTGAGTATCGATAATTAAAAGAGATGTGTAATTTTGTGCTTACGTGCGACAAATACAAACACATTGTTTTATTGTTATCTATTTACTCAAACGTAACATGTCTCTTTTGCACATATTGCACAACCACTAAGATAACATTCAAAGTATTGTCTATGAACTTTAACATAGATTTCATTTTTCTTGCAAATATGATATGGAAATATTCGATGACGTCTTCCTACGATGTAATCAATTGAACATGGATTATTACATAATATATGTGTGTTAAAATGGATTTTCATATGAATTAAATTAGATAAACCACCAAGAAGAATATCAACAATCGATAAACATATATTAAATGAAAAACTTCGTAACTCGATATGAATGAGTAATGGACATTTTTCAATTAATTTTAATACATCTTTCACCGTAAAATTTACATGTTCACTTGTTACATTAAGTGATTGTAATCGACGAAAACAATCAATAAGTGATGGACTATCGAATATAAGTCGAGATAAAAATAAGCGTGTAGGAATTGTTAGATAAATCATGTTTGGACTTGTCCTATTGGACAGAAATATAGTTAGTATCAAGAAAGTTTCAGGTCCGAGTCCACATCTAGATATAACTTCAGAACCTGTTTTCATTTAGTGAGAGATCATGAGATTCTTGAATTTGCGGCAAATTCATTTCTCACTGAAATAATTCAAACTAAAATGTATCCAAGGAAACCACAGTGGTATAGAGGTATTAGATATATACCACTCTTACCTCTACACCTCTCTAGAGATCTGTATATCTACATTTCTTATACTTTTTTATTTCTATAAAATTATTTTCTTCAAATTAATTTGCTGCAAATTCAAATATCTCCTCTAGTGTTTAGCATTGAATTTAAATAGGACTATGCAAAGGAAGATAACAACAAAACAACTGTATACTGATTTTTTTTCATGAAAGTAATGAATAAATAACTAAAAATCTTCACTCTTTATTTGGTCGTGTACACAAAAAATTGCCAAGTATTAGACCAAAAACTTCCAATCTGGATCTGTTCGAATCAAAAAAACTCGTGGACTTCAAAGTCCCTCGTTAGCGGAGTTTCATTAAATTTCTATATTCGTTATTTTAAACTATTTTGTTGTGAATGATAATCTTATTAAATAATTTTTGGAAACTCACATATTTTTGAAGAACATAGTGCGAGTCGTCTTCATTACAGATTTTAATAACCGGGATAAATAATCAATAGATACGTTTCCTTAGCAAGCAGTTACCCTAGATTTTATTGCAGCTTATATGGAATATGTGAGTTTCACATTTCAACTTCAAAGAGGCTGTATTGATAAGTTTTTTATACTTACAATAAAGCTTGTTCGATAAAATATAGTTGAGATAGATCAATCATTGGATCGAATTCTAACGTAGTTATGTAATTTAAATCAACGAGACGTGCAAGCTGGTCAAAATATTCTTTTTGTTTCATTCTTTCAATATGTGTATCATAGATACCAACTAAACAAAACAAGAATGTTAATGTCATATTTTTGATTATTAATTATTTTTTCTATTTACTTAATTGTGTCATAGTATTCCATAAACTAGTTCTCAAAGGTTCAATTCGAATGACGAGATCATTAATATTTTGATATGGTGAAAACATTAGTAGATTGTTTGAAAATGTACTGTTTAGAGGTATGTCAATTTGTAAACGGACAGTACCATAATAAAATGCTTGCATTTGTGCATTTGTTATTGCTGTTGAATACATATTGATTGTATCAAGAACTGTTCGTCGAAGATTAACATACTGATATCGTAATGCTTTCGAACATCTTAATGCATGTAATTCAACTTGTTGAGCTAAAAAAGCATATGTACATACATTAGTAATTAAAAAAAAAAAAAGAAAACAATCAATACGATTATATTAATTCGACGATTGATACTGAACCGTGATTGATTAATTTTTATAGACCAATCATCATATTTTGCTGAAAAATATTCAAATGAATGGACTACAGCCTTCATATCTAATACTGGAGAATTTCGATGAATAAACACAGTTATAAAAAGATCAAATACATCTAAATGAGGTAGATAGTTTGTTAACAATTGTTGCCAATTATGACCATTTAATAAATGATTCCAAGAAGATGATATAAATCGTGAATTTTCGATTGAGATAATAAATTGATGAAGATTAGGCATATAACGTAGAATTCGATTTAATGAATCAAAATCGCACTTTGTGCTAATATGCAAATTGAATAATTTCAAATACGAGGCCATAGGTATATTGTCCTCATCGATAGAACGAAGTATTGGCGCACTAGAAAACATTGAATGTGTACATTCAAATAATGTAATATAAGAGTATCAATTTTTTCGATATTAAGTGAAAACCAATCGTTTGATAAGAGACAACAAAGAGTTCGATAAGGAATCTTCTGTAACGAACGTTCGGACGTTTATTATCATCTTTTTTTTGTTGTTTTCTCGGAGTATCTCGATTGTCTCTGAGTTCAAGCCCACATTTGAGATCTGCCGATCCTTTCATACCCGACGAGTTCACAAAAAACGTGGACCCACACCCTCATTAGTGAACAACAAGAAATAACTTTATATTGACTTTGTTTTCTGCAATTAACCGATAAATGGCTAATGCTTGAATCTTTCATTTTGTCATGCACATAAAAAGTGCTAGACGCTAGTGAAAAACCTGCGTCTTGACTAGACATCGGCGTGACCATTTATTATTGGCCACGGTCACGGCAGATTTTATCGTGACCGTGATCGTGAATCATGGAGATTCCATGAAAAGTTTGAGTTTTAATATCAAACTCGAGGCAGTGTGTTTTATGACCACTGCAATTGAGGTGAACCCAAGCAGACACACATGCCCATTTTTCTTGTTTTTTTGAACAAAAAAAGAAAGAAACTCTTAGATTTTTCCTTTGTCTATGTTAGTTTTAACCGCAATTTTTACAAAAACTGAAGTTTCACTAAATTTTCGGCAAAACTTGAGATTTTGGGGACATTTTCTCTCTTATTTTTATCTTGGTTATAGATTTTACGCAAGTTTTTCGATGAAAACTAATGTGGACAAAAAGAAATCTGAGAATTTGTTCCTTTTTTATTCTACAACATGAGTAAACTCGATACATCTGTCTGCTCGTGTTAAATGATCGTATTGAAATTAGGTAAAAATACTGCTATTTTAGTCGATTTTAGATCAGAAAAAAATAGATTACAATGACACTTTTTGGTTGTTTCCAATATTGAATAGCTATATACTTAACCCCTTGGGGACGGGAGAACCATATATGGCCAACGATTCTGGATCGGTCCATAGCTGACTTACATATGTCTCACATGATATTGTTATGACTTACATGCTGGTGCAGGTCATCGATCTGTCATCCCCGATGTAATGTGACACTACCATCTGTATTACGCCCTCATTCACCTTCTTTCTAATAAATACATCATTTTAGAGTTTCGAAAATCTCATTTTTTTTTCAAAAGTAACCCTGTCCTCAAAGGGTTGCAGGTGCCCACGAGTGACTGTGAGTGACGGCGGTCACGTTGACCTCTAGTGTTGACCTGACTGAGTTCGAGTCTGGATGTATCGTGTCAGATCTACCGAAAAAAAACAGACCGATCGCTGTCTGATCGCCTAATAAGAAAAAACAATATTTTTCAACAAATAAGCTTTTCAAAAAGAAATCTTTGCAAACTGAATGTCCTCCACGGATGGCTCCTAAAAATAAACACTATCAGTATCGATTTACTCAATAAAGAATTTTCTATAAAACTGTATTGACAGGAGGTTTTAGAATGAACTAAAATCATCAATATATCTCGATAAGACTAAAACATGTGTAGGACAAGGAAGTCTGCATTACGAATTAGAACATTCTGTGTTTTGGACTCATAATTTTCGCTGTCTTTATGCTAATAGAGTAACTTACTTTGCGTGATGTGTATTCGATTCATTACTATCAATAATCGTTACATATAACTTTCGCAATACACGATAAGTACGAAGAATGGATAGAATACTGTAGATCGAACAAAGATTAGATGAACCATAAAACATGATAGAAAGTAATGTCAATGTCCAATTAATAGTAATATTAGCAGCTAAATATGGATAATCATAACGAATTATGAGTTTAATGGAGTGAAGATTTGATAATTTATGTTTTAAAATGGTTTCGGTTAATTTTCGTTTGAATTGATCAGATAATGGTTTGCTATGTGATTGTTGTATTCGAAACGATTGAAGTTTGGTTAGAGTTGTAAGTTGTTCAATGGCGTGGTCGAGTTTCGATGATGAACAAATTGAGAAAAATTCACATGATCGCAGATTAATAAATGTATGTTGTTTGAAAAGAAAAGGAATAATTGATGAGCGATCACGAAGTTTATCTTCAAGTGAAAGAGAAATGACTTTGCGAGCATGATTAGTAAGATGAGATGAGAGAATTTTCAATTGATAACGACAATGTAATTTTGAGATAATAACATGAAGTTGAGTTGAAGATAGAATCAATGAAATACGTTTATTGAGTGAAGAAAATGCCATGAAAAGATCCAAAGCATGCAAATAATCGAAAATATCCAAAAATAAATCATTGGATAAGTCTTCCAATTGCATGATTTTACTCATTATAGTTTGCATCAAAAATAGCAAATGTACATTTAATACATAGAAAATCAGGTGAAGAAACCAACATAAATACTAAGTAACTTAAACTGTTTGTATGCAATATTGACGGATAAAAATATGACGAGAATGGTGGACGGCTATTGTCGTATTCTCGTCCGAATATCTCTAAGCACGTCGGTGAAGTTAGCGGCAGATTCGACTTTTTTTTTCAGCGAACATTCGCACATTAATCTGTGTCTAATCAGCTCATCAATGTGTCTTATGCAACTCGACGAGCTCTATCCAGTAATGCAATCAGATTTTTCATAGGCAAAAGTATGATCCAGAAATCTTCAAAATACTGTATTTTTTTTAATGAAATTTTAGCACCATATTCGAGTAAAAGCTG